TTTTTATAAAAGATATTGGAATCTCAAAGCTTTAAAATATTGAAGAGTTAAGAATAGAAATTATGAAGAACCTGTTGTAGTCCAAAGCTGCTCCTTTTAATCAAAATTTATGCTTGAATTAGTGTTTTATTTTAACCTTTTTTAATGTATGTTTCTGTGGCCACTTGTAGCAGTTCAACCACAGAATTTTCATATTGGTCTTTTTGCATAAATCAGATATCTCTTGTAAACAATATTGCCAATGGAAAAGCCATGCAGAGCATCAAGAAGTTCACACACAATTTAATGCTTTGTTATAGAGCACATTAAAGCTTCTAAATAAACCCTCCTTTTCAATTATCAGCTAATGGTATCCTAAGGCATAGTTTTAATTATCCTTGAGTTAGCTCCTATCAATTAAGAGTTGCCTCACAAAGATGTTTTCAACTCTATTCCTAAACTTTTACTGTACATGAGCTGTTATAGAAGTGTTATGCTTTAAAACAGAATGATTTTCTATTCAGATCAACATTTGCATGGACTGCTGAGTTAACATGTATTCTTTAAAGACCATGTGATTTCCACAAGGAAGCTGCCATTGTATTTTGTCTAAGTTTAAGTCAACAATAAAATTGGCATGCTGATTGATCATGAGGAGCTATTATATTATACTCACTTTGTATAGTCAACTATAGCCTGTGCAGATTATTAACTTCATGTGAATGGTAACATGTACATGAATACATAGATGTGTTGTCCTTGAAGTTATTAGCTTCATGTGAATGGTAACATGTACACAAATACACAGATGTGTCTTCCTTGAATTTATTAGCTTCATGTGAATGGTAACATGTACATGAATACACAGAGGTGCCTTCCTTGAAATTTTCTCTGCCCACTACACAGAGATGTGGACAATATCAGTCTTATGTATCCTGAAATACCTGTTATAAATTTTATGGCTCTTTTCTTGTTGTTCTCTTTCTTAAGAGAGGTTGTGAAGGACTGCTTTAATTGCTGATGACCAGTCAAGTGATGTTGAAATTTAGGTTTCTTAGAAATGATTTGTGACTGCAGACACTGTTTCTTTACAATCTGTTGTGTGAGGAGGGATAATTTTATAAATGTGCTTTTATTTGCAAGTGGCTACATTAAATAGAGGGGGACATTTTGGGGGGGGGGTCTGAACAGTGCAATACCATTAAAAAATTTGGCAAGTTTGAGTCGCACTGAGGAGATTGCATTATACTCTTCAGTAGCTTGGCAAATATGGTGTCCTATTTCTTTACAGTGGCCCTAAGAGACATTAATTTTATTCTACAGGAATCGGTATATACATTGGAACACACCCATCAAACTATGCCAAAACCTGTTGCCTTCTTCCTTCAACGGAAAAATGTCGGAAAGCATGTCGTGAAAGAAGGCCAGCAGATCTGAAGAAAACATGTCCAGAGGCAGAAGAGGTATGTAATGACATTAAATATGAAAATAATTGTTTAAATATGATCAGTGTAGTTAAATTAATCAACCAAGTTCTCCTGATGAATTAAAATCTTATTCCAAAGCTGTAGAATTATCTAAGAAAACTGAATTTTAGGTGATATATTTTCAAACTTCCAGAACTACTTTCAATTTTAACATAAAGTTTTATACTTAGAGTTGATTTTAGCTTTTGCTATTTTTCAGGGTTCCATGTACCGTTGTTTGGACAGACATCAAGGTGAGATACTTCCTTATGAAAATAAAGGTGTATGCTTTGAGTTACTTCCAGTTTTGTGACATATATTTGCACTGCATATTACTAAGTTCTTCTACATAAATAATTAATTGATACCTGCCTTTGTTTGAGAAGTAAAACCATCTTTTTGTTCCAAAACAGCATCAAGAAATTGTTGCAGTAGTTCTCCACAGATCAGTCAAAAGTGCAGACGGTCATGCCAAGTGGTGAGTCTGGAGATTATTAATTAATGTTATTAATTAAACTTTGCACAAGTAAAATAGTCATTCCAAGGACTCATGAGCTAAAGTATAATTAGGTTTTTTTTGTTAATTTGAGAGGAATCAAACTAAAGAGTCATAAAATTGATTTCTATATATTGTATTTCTGTATAAATTTGTCATTAGCTTGGTGTCATTGTAATGGGAAGAGTAATTGTTTTTAGTAACCAAAGACACCATGTTTGATTCAATATTTTAGGTGTTTTCATCAGAGCTTCAGCCATCAATTCAAATGGGGACAAATGTGCAAAAGTTTTGTGCAAAACATCAACAAGTGGTTTCCTGTGTCAAAAGACTGACCTCTGATGTGGTACCCTGTGCTGGTAAGAATTGGGCTGAGCTGCATATTGATTTCTCTACTACTTGTATGTATATGTACCACATTACACCAAGAAGAGATTCCATTTGCCACTTAAGGAAGGCTTGTAGCTTATTCTATGGCATTACACCTAGACACAGCATACATTTGTACCTCTCAGATTCATCAGAGTTCACTGATCTGGTTCACTACAGTTATATGATAGCTACATATGACTATCCTTTGAAAACCTTTTTCCTATCTGCTTACACCTTTCTAATTAATGTCATATTTTTTTGTTGTAGAACAAGGATTAGATTCTAAGCCAGAAGGTAAATTTGTTTTTATCAACTTGATTTTTGAGGCTTTTAATTATAGGGTTTTTGTTGAGAAATGTTGTGGCTGGAAAAAAAATCAAAATTTAGGCAAAAGTTTTGGATAATAGTCAAAGAATTATCCCATCTTCAGTGGTTTACCCTCCAACTCCTTTAAGTGACCAAGACAGAATTTTTCCTTACAATATTAATGCAATATCAAGCGAACAATACTGAGAATAAAGAAAATATCAGTAACGGGATCATTAGTTGATTCAATGCCAATTTTACAAAAAATTCAGAATATTACAAAACCTTTATACAAAAAAAATTCAAAACCAAAATTCTCCAAACTAATAACATGAAAATTGTATGGTAGACAGTAAGGAGAACTGCTATTTAAATCTTGAGAGTAAAGGGGTTAAGGAACGTCCTGGTATACATAATTGCAACCTATTGATTTATGTCTACTTACTTTCTTTAAATTGAAAGATAACTAAAAAAATTATTTTTTGAAGTTTAGAGGAGTATTTGAGTTTTTCTTAATTAACAATTGGTTCATATGTCAGCATGCTTTCATCGAGATATGAAGCACATGGGAAGTTTGGAGAGCATGAATGATGTGTCAGAGTTGCTTGAGGCGTAGCTGAGAGCAACTCTAGCTTCTTGAGTGCTCTCCAAACTTCCTAAGTGCTTCATATCTCGATGAATGCACAGCTGACATATGAATCAATTGTTTTATAACATTTTCAACCCAAAAGAAAATTTTTTTCTTGAGGGATTTGTTTGCTGACGTCATGAGTGTGCACAATAGGAATATGAAGCATGCTTGTGCAATTGAATTTGATGAGACAAATTTACTAGCCATGTTATAATACAAATCTTTTAATGTAAAATAGCCATTTAAATTGTGAGAATATTTATGATCAATGTAACAAAGGTTTGGATTGAATTTGGGAAAATAATTGTTTCAAACTCTGTGTAAGAGTTTTAAAGAGAGCCTCTAATTGTCTCCTTAGCTTTAAAATGTTGCACAAAACTGAACTCTGATGATACTATATGCAGGAGGACATGCCAAAAGGTATTTTTATATTTGTACTGTTTTTTTTGCTTATTACTTTTTTGTATTGTTTGTTTTGGATTACTGATGAGTTTTAATTAACTTTTGTAGGATCTCCAATCACAGAAAAGTGCATCCATGCTGATTTCTAGTCTTGTTGCAGCATGTGGAGATCCCCTAGCCAAAAACAACTTGGAGGTAATTAATTGTAATACAGGGCATGAAATTAACTTTTTTTTCTGATAGCCACTTGGCTCCTAAATTTTTCAAAGTGGTTGTCAATTCAAAAAAAGTTGGTTGCCATTTTTAAAGACAAATAAAACCTTTTTTAAACGCTGTCAGCGTTCTAGATAGACCCTCCAAAATTAAGTAAGAAAAAGATCTTTAACATGCTACAATTTGGACACTAGGATGTCCAATTTAATTCACTTTATCTCTAAGTAAGGTTATGATGAAGCACTCTAGTTGCCAATTTGGCGACTAATTTTCAGGATTTGGTTGCCAAAGTGAAAAATTTAGTTGCATTGGCGCCTGTATTGGGCAAAATTTCACGCCCTGTAATATAGTTTAACATGTATATTTACTGTGAGCCAGCACAATGTGTATTACCTTGCTGTCTTATTAATATCTTTATTGGTATGGCTTCAATTGAGTACCAGAGTGGATTTTTCTGTTCTGAGATGCAAAAAGTATTAGCTTGTTAAATCTCTGGGCTTGCCATCTTATTTCCAACATGTACATGCTACATGTAATTCTACTTTCTAACTCCTACATTTTTTGCAAGTTATTTAAGCTGGTGTACAACCAAGATGACATGCTTTATCTAATACATTTGACTTTCTCGTCACTTTAATTAATCATGTACCTAATAAAGACATCAGAGATGTAAATTGTTTTTATCTTTCAGCGAGATGAGTTTTGGAATTGCCTTCTTGCTAGCTCAGCGAAAACGCCAGGTGAGTTGTTTAATTTACTGCATGTTCTTCTTGTAAGCTAACATACATAACTTGTAAATCTTGTCTCAATTCATTAATATATGAGCAAGTGTGGAGAAATCAACTTTTTAAGAGGACTTCATTTTTTTTTTCTTACAGCTCCAGTTTGTCCCAATGGAACACCACCACCTCCAAAACCAAGTAATTTTTTTAAATCTGTTTTTGCCTGTATCAAAAAAGAACAAAAACAAAAGAAAGAAAAATGTTAGAATGTTGTATATCGTGGTTGAATTTTCTTCTAAGCCAAATCTTTGTTCCTGTTCCTTTATACTTCTCGATCATGTGATATACTGTATTAATAAAATATCCACTGACTGTGCAGAAATAAACCCTTTACTGTGAAAATGGTTTTGGTGGTATTGTATTGCTGCACTAACTCCTTTGATTTTCTGGTTACAGGAATTGATGGGGCAAGACTTCAGTGTTGCTCAAAAGCAAAAACTAGTGTTTGCTGGGAACAATGTGTCCAGGTTTGTGGGGATTTGGAAGGAAGACCTTTCATTTGAACATTTTCAAGTTTTAGGTTAAATATTTTGTGGAAGAGCAAAGGAGTAATTAAACTCGCACTAACTGAGAAAACAAGGGTTACAAGATTATATTTCTGGATTTTATGCCTGGCAGGTTTTTAAGGAACTTTTTCTTTATATGGAAATTGAAATAACTGTATTTGAAAGTTGTTCTCAATCACTAGTGTGGTTTGTGACACAGTTTTAAAGGAAGAAAGTATTTACAATTTCAGTTCGGCTCTAAAGTTAGTTAACAATGAAGAAATGAAAATGGTTTCCGTGTTTACATAGCCTGATGTAAACACGAGATAAGCGTAGGAAACCACGACGTGAAGCGGAGTGGTTTCCAGCTCATTGAGTGTTCTCCCAACCTCCCAAGTGTTTACATCAGGCTATGTAAACACTGAAACCATTTTACATTTCTTTTATAAAATAACTAATGAAAGAGGAATGAAAACCATGTTTACATACGCTCATGTAAAATGGTTTTATGGCCAATCAGAGCGCGCGTATTACTTGAATTATTTTATAATAAAAACTTTTGAGCAATTTAGGCAGCAGAAAAGGCTCTCAATATTAACATTAGCAGGTTGTGCCTTAGAGTATGTCCTCTTAAGTGTAGTAATCACAGTTTTATTGTAACTGAGAGATAATTATTTGATATTTGGTAGTTATGTGGCTCATACTAATTTTTTATTGGTTTTCGGTGTTTGAAATAGAGGTATACCAGGAAGAGGGGAAAGGTACAAAACTGGCGTAAATTTGATGAGAGCTGTACCTATAATCCTAAAGAGGTACAAACTTTATTTTGTAGTTTGGTGTGACCTCCAAAATATTTGAAAACATGTGTTTCTTCTCAAAATCATAAACACATATCCTTTTATTTCAACAGATCAGCATGATGAACTGCTTAGCTGATGGTAAGAGTGCTTTGACCCTTTAACCTCTAATAGTGACTAGTATCTAATCTCTTCTCACAGTATCACCCCTGAATCACAAGTTAATGTCGCATAAAGAAAGGAAATGATCACCAATGAGAGATGCTCTTGATTGCTAAACAAATTCTCCTCATGAGCATCTGAGGAAATATACAGAGAACAGCAAGGAGAAGATGAATACTGATGCATATGTTATAGTGGAAAGGGTTAAGCTACAATTCTAACTACATGATTTTCATTTTCATCTTTTTCACTATCTAAATCCCTGAAAAATTACTTTTAAGTCATGGTTTATTTTTCTCTCTCTTTTCTTTTCAAAAAATAGCTATTCCATTGATTTTGTATTTAGCTTATTTGTGGCAGTCATGATGAAACCTTTGTTCAACAACAGAGAACTATAGGCTAGCTTTATCAATTTACAGTCTTGTGAAAGAGATGTAGTGCCTTTCTAGATCTGTAGGCATGAATGGTTGGCCAGTTAACCAAGCTGAAACTCCACCCATGTTATGTTTATGTTTTTTTTAAATAATTAAAATTGTCCATTTTTTTCCCAGTGACAGAGCCATGTCAGTTGGGTTGCTCAGGTCTCAGTTTTTGTACAAACTTCAACAACAGGTATGTTATAAAGCTTTTGTTATTTGTTGGCTTTTAAGCTTTAGTTAAAGCTAAAAACCCATAGTAGCATAGTGGTTATAGCCTGGTGAACTCTTGAATAAAAGTATCTCAGACCTTTCTATCTTAGGCCAAGCTTTCACAGAAAGCTAAGGAATCAGGAGTAAGGGGCATGCATGAAAAATACCCCTGCCCTAGACTGACCACCCCCCCCCCCACTCAGGGAAAAAATAAATACATGTACTCCAGGTTATGGAGTACATGAATAAAACCAGGATATGCAATAGGCAAGATGGGCATCTGACATGCAAGTATAGTTAACCCCTCTCCCTCTTGAAGTTAACTTGAGTGAAGATCTTTGGTTACATTATGCACATCATTTTTTCTTTTTTGCAGGCATACTGAGTTGTTTCGCAGCTGTAACAGCAAGTCTGACTTTGGAGCTAAAAGTCACATGCAGGAATGGAAAAAAGGTGTCATTCACATGCCCAATATTGTTATTCCAATACGGGACATCAAGAAATGTCTTCCTGAAACATGGAAGGTATGTCAACTAGAAATCTAGCCTTGGAATAGGTTTAAACCAGTAGAAAGACTAAACTATGGCCTAAACTATTTTGTATAGGTAACATGATTTTGAGTGCTATTCAGAGCAGTAGAACATAAAATCTGATGATCTGAGGTTCAAATAGCCTGGGAGTTGGGACAGGGGAGGGGGCTCAGACTTTTCTCCTGCTCAGAAAAAAAAAAATAACATTTTACTTTCCCTTTACAGGCCATTGCTTGTGTGCTTCAGATCAAGCCATGCAGTGTCAAATCTCACAGAAGTACCATCTGCAAGTAAGCATGACTTCTTACTTTTCTCTGTTTTTTTTTTCTAAGATACAGTTCAAAAATGAGAGTTTTCATGTGACTTCATTTTCCATCTGCTTTCTTAGGTTTTTGTTCCATAATTTAGCCCTATCATGACTTAGATTTAGTTAGTACAATTTTGATCTATGTGTGAAGTTAGTTTTATCTGATATTAAATTAATGTCACCTGATAGACATTTATAATTTTCATTTTTCAGGCCTGACTGTGTGCAGATCCTAAAACAGTGTAGCAATTCCAGTGCAACATTAGCAGCACTATCGCCCGAAGAAGTTTGTAAAGAACTTTCTCCTCCTGAGAAAAAGGCTCCCTGTATCTCTCTTCAAGAATACCTTGGTATGTGATCCATTCTTTCAAAGTTTTCTGTTCTGTTTAGTTAATACTGTAAGCCTGTGAGGGGTATGTTCAAAGTTTTATTAATAGTATGACGAGAGCCTCTGGGTTGGTCAGTGCACTATATGGCACATTGGTTGAAAATTTGAAGGAGTGAGGAAAAACTTTATATGGAAGTGCCTCTGATTTTTTCCTTGAAAGTTCACAATTGGAGTAAAGAAGATAAGGAAGTAAGAGATAAAGTTTTCAAGCAGACATTTTCCTTTCTGTACAGGCTGTTAATATTGTGAAGGTTTTATTGATTGTGAATTATGACCTATAAATGGACAGGCATTTATGCAATTCTTTCTCTTTCAGTACCCAGCAAGTACACTGATATTACAGACGAAGGTAAGGTTTGTAATTTCAGTATTGGTGTTTTTCTTGCCAGTATTGTAACGAGTCATATTACGACAGACATCACCCATTTGACAAAAATAATAGTCATGGGTTATCATTTTCAAATTTTCTTTTGATGTAGTGACTCACCCATGCAATCCAAACCCATGCAAAGAGAATCAAGATTGCGACATCAACAGAAGTTGCTATGGAGCGCTTCTTGACAGGTGTCAATCACACACATGTGTACCAGGTAATTGTTTATATAATTTGAAACTAATAGGGGCTTTTTTCTAGTATGTACATGTTGGAATAATCCTAGACCACCATGGCCAAATCTGCAAAGAATTCATTGAGGGCAAGGATAATTATTTTTCGCCAACTCTTAGCATTGCACAAGAATCTGTTTCCCTTTGTCTTTCTATTCATTGTTCATTTTATTCACTCTCTTTGAGATTCAGCCAGTGAGATCACTTCAACGTGGATATTCCTTGCTTACCTCAGTTATAGTCCTCTTGTTTTAATGACAATTATCACTTATAAATAGACTGCAAGATTCTAAGGCAGTCTTTATCAAGAAACAGATTAGACCCAAGCTATATGATAATGCTCTCTCCTGAAAAACCCGCAGGTTACTAGAAAGAAGTTTTGTATAACCATTTCCTTGTACTCACTAGGTTGTCCTCTGGGTGATGCATCAAGTTTCCTTGTGCGAGTCGGAGAATATGCAAGGGTAAGTGTCACCATGCAGTTCACTTTATCTCAGTGTAGACATACTATTACTGATACTCCTTTTTTTGTTTCATTAATGCTAACTAGATCTACTCATGAACATTTTCAGGTACCTGTTGTGTCTGGTAGAGAAGGTTGCTTCAGGATGTGCCACTGTGATGGGACTTCCAAACTCAGCAATTGTAGAATCCTGGAATGCATTGAGCCTAAGGAGTGCAGATTTAAGGGAAAGGTTAAAAGTAAGTTGAAATTCTCTTTTACGGATGTTTTGACACAGACCTATCATTTGAGTCTTGCTGCGCCTACTTTAGTTGTTGTGTTTTCCCCCTGTCTGATGTCTCAGCCAAAAATTTAATATTTCTCTTGATCCATTTACTTACACGTTGCTTTCGGATGCTTGTCATATATGAACCTGGTAATGGCCTATCCCTGTTTCTCACCAGACAGATCCCTGTCGCTCATTGGTAGAACATCGGATCGCTAAATCCAAAGATGTGGGGTCTGTTTTCCCTTGGAGACTGATATTGTCTTTGTTTAACTGTAGTAAAAAAAACGAACAAAAATTTTCTTATATGCTTGCTAAGGCTGGAGTACCATATTTTTCGATGCGTTTAGAATCTAAATCTACCCTGAATCTGCGAAATGATTTATGTACTGATCATATTTTCTTTTTTTGCAGATAACGGCGAAACTTTCAGAGATGAGTGCAACCTATGTACGTGTTTTTCGGGAGAGCTGACTTGCACTAAGAGGAATTGTCCAGAGTCTGTTCTATCACCAGAGTACAATGCTAGTAAGTGTAGATTTTTAGATCCTCTAGAGTGATGGAATAGGCGAAAACAGAATTGTTTACCGCTTACCCCATTAGGGTGAAATTGTACCTTTGCGAATGACAAATGTCGTTGCTTATCAATTCGTATAGATTATGTTTCTTGGCTAAGATATTCAAAATGTCAGCAAAAGTAAATGACAACGACATTCTTGTTATGCGGAGTGGCTAATTTAATACTTCCTAACCCAGCTATGCCCGTTTCTGTCAATGTTGTCTCTCTCCTCTTTTGGCTAACTGAAGAGCATTTTGTTACTCGCATCAGGTCGGCCCAAACGCAATCGAACACCAGATAACGTTTCTACAGATACAGACACCATCAGTACTTTGCCTTGTGGCTGTAAGAATGTCTATAATCCAATGTGCGGTAGTGATGCCAAGACTTACCCCAATCCTTGTGTGGCACGGTGAGAAGATAAATATTTTTTCCGAAAGTCCTGGATTATTAGTATTTTATCGCTGCCGTAGAAAACAACGTTTGCGACAATGAGTCATCACAAGATGAAAACCAGCCTGACGCTAAAATGTGGCAATCAGCGGCAAGCGCGGGAAAAGATGTCGCCTGTGGCAAAAAAAGCGCGCGAAAAAATCAACAGGAATGTGAAGTGTTAAAAGGGCAGGAAAAGATATGTTTCAATAATTCAGACGTTGTGACAAGCGTTATTATTATTTTATATCTATAGATTTCCATCATATATGTCGGGTCCGAGTATTTTATATAAAGGGCTTATCTTTTGTTTTGTTAACAGGTGTCTTGGGTTGCCTCCCACTCGGCTAACGAAAGGCAACTGTGCTTCCATTGATCCTTGCGAACCGAGCCCCTGCGCTGCTGATGAAAAGTGAGTGGTTTTTGTCATCAGCTGATGACGTTATGTTTTCTTTTGACCATTGATGAGATACTGTTTGCATTTCATGTTGATCATACCGTAAACGCCCTCTAAATGCTTCTCTCCGGCTCTAACACCTCCCTCTTTATTAAGCTTCTTTATTTAATGAACCTCCCTGTCAGATAAGTCCCCTTCTCCCATAACCCCTCCCTCCCCCATGTCGAATAAATCCCCGTTTCTGATAAGCTCCCCTCTTTCTTAAAAGAACCCTCTCTAACAAGTCCCCTTCTCGAACTTCTCGAAAAAGCACCTATCGGGGAACTCGTGATGCATGTGAGGGTGTTTAAAATGAATATGAAATGTGGAAGATTTCGCTTTACAGTAAGCACAGGACGAAATTGCAAGAATCCGTAAACGGAAACGTGGCAGAAACATGTTAAACCGTTCCGGAAACACGACGGATAACCTGTGTTTCCGTTACCGGTTTCGTGACGTTTTCTCGCGTTTCCGTTGCTGCGTATACAACGGAACCGGACCACTTTTACGTAAACATAACGGAAACATGGAGTTGCATGTTTCCGCCACGTTTTCGTTTACGGATTCTTGCAATTTCGTCCTGTGAAGGGTGTGCGGATATATTATGTTGTTCTCCTTGCGTTACTTTTGCGCGCCTCATTTCTTTCGTTATCTCTTTTCTTTGACGTTTGGGATATAGCGAGTAAAGGTTGATTTGTTTGTGATCCAAAGATTAATGCCTTCTTGTTGTTATCAACTTTGCAGGTGCATTGTGGAAAGAAAGACTTGTTTGTCTATCACTGATCTGTGTGTTCAATATTACTGCGGTGAGAGTCCACTGATAATTTTTTAACTATTGGAAGTGGAACCTCTTTTTTCCTATCTATTCTAGTCCTAGAAAATGTAAATTAACGCTTGAATATTTGCCCCACATGTTACACTCTGAACATAAATTCTGGCGAATCTGAACCATCGTCTTTAACATACCGATTCCATTCCCTTTCCATTCCACTGATATGTTAGTACACATGTATATTGAGTAGCGAGGATAAACACACTTGTCTTTTTTTTTGCGAGAAAAACGGAAGAGATTCATCGACATTTGCCCCAAGATTATTACACTTTTTTCCTCTCTCAACTTAAGTGAAAACTTGATTTAACTTGGGTTTTGTAAGAAATAAAATTTATTTCTTCTATAGTATCAGAGGGAAAATACTGTAGCGATCTCCAGTTGGACCCAGTCTGCGACTCGGAAAACAATCAGCATCCAAACCTCTGCTCGTTGCAGTTCAACCGCAAGACGCTGGCGTACAGAGGGTTCTGCAAGGTATGATACTCAGTGCGGTACTGAGGCTTTTTAATTCATATGAACTAAGCTTTGCAATTGACCCATTAATTGGCTTCTTTTTTGAAATTTTCTAGCTGGTCTCCTATTTTTTCATACTGAGTCCAATAATGCAAAGAAAACACCATCCCGATTTACTTTGACTACTGCGGTAGATTATGGGCTTTTTCGTCAAACGAATTACGTCGAATTATAGCATTTTACATGATATTTATTCGATTGTGTTCTTTTGCTCGTGTAGGATGAATGCAAACCTCCCTCCCCTGCCGTGTGCGGTGTTAACGGGGAGACGTACTCCAGCACATGCGCAGCGCGCTCAGCAAGAGTGATAGTTGATTATCAAGGACGGTGTAAAGCTGTAGGGACTGGACTTAATCATGACGACAAATCACGTTGTGAGAGTGTCACGTGTCCTGAAATAAAACCACTTCACTGCAAAGGGGTCGTACCCCCAGGGGCCTGCTGCCCACACTGTGGTAAGTACAGTTGTACCAAACGGTTAAGTCACGTCTCAGCGAATTTTGTGCGTAATGATTTTGGAAACGAATGTCACATAATTCTTGCTCTCATCATGGCGGATGTAGTTCGTCTCGTCTCGTTTTTTGGTTCGATTGGCAACCTTTTTGTAATTTTCCATTATTACACTGAAATTGTAATGTTTTGTCTTGCAGCCGCTGAAGTTCGAGTTTTATATAGTTTGAAACAGTTGGCATATAACCGAGAAGGATTTAGTAGATATGAGTCAGTTACACTGGAACAAGTATTTCAGATCCTTCGGCGGCACATATCTACGGTGAGCATAAAATTCACGACCCACCAGGCCCATAGGAACAAATTATAAAGGGAAGGGGGACCAAAGGTTAAACATTTCGTGGTGTATTATATTTGACCAGACGTCATACGGGGGGGGGGGGGGGGGGGGGGGGGGGGGGGGGGGGGGCAACATCCTTTCCCGACATTTTGGAACACTTTTCGAGGTCCTAATTGTTACTTACAAGCAATACTGGAACCTTTTTGGAAGCTTAACGTGGAAGGTCAGAATGTGGGTTTACGTGCAGTGGCAGTAGTCACGAAAACCCTCCAAAGGATAACCATAAGCTGGGTGATCAGATACACGATCAAAAACTAATCGAAAGAAGAAGACTTGCGTATATCAGTAAGGGGGAAATTGACGTTAATGGTCATGTTTTATTTCCTCTTCAGACTGAATGTGATTTGTTCGGATATCACAGCGTTGAAGGCGATTTAGTGGTTTTAGTGATGGCTGTTACGGCAAAGCCGACAAAACTTCAGGTAGGATTGGGAGAGTTTCATTCTGTTGAGTTCGCCGGTTACAAGGCATTCTTAAGATTAACATATCAATTCTCGTCATCGCGAGACTAACTTAATACTATAAGGAGAGGGACCTTTCTGTTTAACTGGGAGAGAAATTCCATATCTACGCGCCCCTTTATTATTCTCTATATATGAACTGACAGCACAGACCCAGTTTGATTTTGTTTACAAACGCGTAACATTAACTGGGCAACAAGGGTCACGCGCGCAGGGTAAAATACTTACACGATTCTTTTTTGCGTTTTTCTTAGGTGGAAGCCTGTAATCGCGAGGCGCAGAAGATTGAAGCTCTTATTGATACTGGAACACCGTCATTCACGTCCGACATGGTGCTTTCCGCTCTCAAAGCAGCGCGATCTCGAGTGCCTACGTTATCAAATAAGCCGGATAAACCGGTTTCCGACTCACACAAAAATAAAGTGAGTCGGTTAAACAGTGCTTTAACTGCAACTATACTGCCAATCATAATGTTACCTGTCATGCTACGAACGGGTAGAAGTTAACAGTAGATATCCTACAGAGTATTTTTATGTAAATGCAATGAAATTTCGTCAGTACAAAGATAAATTATTGTATTTTTGAAGAATGAAAATGTTTTTGTAGACATGAAAATGGTTCGCAGTATCTTAGTGCACGCCTTGTAGTGGGATTTGCCATACCGCTAACACTTCCTTGCTTTGTTTACTCGGACCTCAAGTAAACAAGATGGAGAATATTGAAATTTAACGTAGCTCTTGTAAAGTATCGTATATACCGTTGAATTTCTGAGCAAATTTGCTGCACAGGTATTTGAATTTTTCGTCTCTCTAAACAAGGCAAAAAGAGAGCACAAAAGGTTGTGTCTATGTTTTTTAACAGGAGAAAAAAACTCGTACTTTTTGAAGCGCTTTTTCTCAGAGAAGCACGTTATTTTTCTCTGTGTTAAGGTCACAATATTTTGCGTTGAGTTTGATCTGACTTTTTGAAGGAAGTAAAAAAGCATATTCAGTCCAATTTCGAAGCCGATCGTATTATTTGAGTTTTGAAATAGTCCCTTCGGATCACTACGTGTAAAGTAATATATATATATGTGTGTATGTAACTCGTTAAGGTTTGTACAATGTCTTCAAGAATTGTTCAGACTGAACTTTAAAAGCTCTGACCCTTGCTGTTGAGTTATTCATCATTAAATGAATCGTTTAACTCGTTTATGCTTCAAAGAGACTAATGTGTTAAACAAATGTTTAAATGTAGCATTGATGTGTCTTATCACGCGAATCACATTGGTATATTGCGTGACAATCTAGTCAAACGTTTTGTTGCAGTTCAGTTTTTCTCTTTTCAAGCTTGTTCACTCCAAATGTCTAAATAATATAAAAAAGACTTAATATTTATTTTATTCGTAAGGAAAATACCATTAATATTACAAGTACCTTGGTTAAAAAAATACATCTTGTATATAATATTGTCACCCAAATATATCTGACAAATTCTGTAAATATAGAAATTAAGATTAAGTTTCTTAAAAAACACGGGTACAGGTATTAAAAAACACGTTTTATACAGTTTTAAGTTTTCTTGTTGGTAGCATAATTTAAGTTCTTTCTTGGGTACTTTCGTCTGGCAAAAAAAATCACTTTGGAAACATGTAGAAATCAGCTCCAAGGGTGTATCTCACTGGTTGATAAAAAGCTCTTGAAGGTCTTTGATCACCTGAGTAAGATTCCGACCAGATCCAGTACTCTGGAAAAAAGAAGTAAGATAACAGAACGATAAAAAAAAAGCAGTCAAAAAAGGGTTACATATTACAATTGATAAAATTTTCCCCTCATTTCATCAAGCGCACTTTGACGCTTTTGAAAAGCTTGAGGTACAACCTCCTATTCAGAGAAAACCTGCCATTAGATAAGAACGCTGATCCCCACAGAAAAAAATGCTTTACTAATATTTATATCGGTATCTCCATTAAAAGTTCTTGAAAGCTGCCTCGCTCCCAGAAGTCCTCCAAACCAGTAAGCGCGTAAGGTAGAGGGTTATTGCGACAGACACCTCCCTTGCTTTCTTTGTCTTCGGCACCCCTCACGCCCTACGCTTGCCACCGGTTAATCGTGCTTCGCGCTTGTTTCTGGGTGCGTTCACAAATGCTTCCTGGTGGAGGCTATCAAGAAGGTGTTCAATTAAATTTAAGTATCACTGTACCTGTAAATGTTGTATCTCCTTGTGATAGGAGCCCCCCTCCACACCGAGGAGGTGCACATGACCCTGCCCACTGGAGTATAAAGGATCAACTTTCAGGATGCACACAATTTTACCGCTCTTCCCCAGCATCACTCGGATACGGCGGTGGCTTGGTTCCCAGTCAATCGCATAACTGAATCAAAAAAAGGTACACTGTTGTTAGTCTCACGTCACAGGGAGAAGCGCCTGAAAACACGGTACCTCACACGTCGGCCATTACAGTGCTGATAATCATTACTGATGACTTTGAAAAGAACAAAGTACACAGTATGAAACGACGCTTATAGTGTATGATTCAACTTGGGTTGATTCAGGCGTGGGATTTTTTTCAAAGAGAATCCGATCATATCCGGAGATTCTCCAGGACGTTCGTAAAATTTTCCAGGCCGTTCCTTCCGAGAAGCCCCGACACAACTTTATCTCCCGTAGTCTTCCCTTGATAACCGTAAGGTTAGGGAAAAACTCAATCCAGTTCAAAGAACTCTCCTCTCGGACTAAATCGAGTTTTTGTAACTTCATTAAATTAGTAAAAAAAAATGCATTCGTTATTCGAAGACTGTTGTGACTCATCTTCGATTCATATCATCCAATAAAAAACTTCTTTGACAACAACTTTTTTATGATTTTTATTTGACTATCTGAATTGGAATGCTTAAAAGCCACTTATCAACTTTTTGGAACATTAATTTAAACTCGAAAAAAAGCTTAAATGAGGAGTCTGGAATCTTAAGGAAGTATTAAACCAAAATGGAACAAAGTTGTTAGCAATTAGAAAATGGGAACATTCCAATGGATCAGAAATGTCTTGCACCTCTGTCGTGCCTAAGCGAAAGAGCAGCAATCGTGAAATACAGTGCTTATTCCAATGCGCCGATTTGCTCGTGCCTCACATTCCCCTTCACTCACTTCGTTTGGAGTTCCTCCACTTCTCGGATCAGACCTTGTTGATTCTTGAAGCGTCGTTTCACTTGAAAAACAAATCCGGCAACGTCATTACTAAGAACGGCTTCATCAACAAGATCATCTATACTGAGTGAGTCCAGATTGACCTGTGTAAACGAGAGAAAATCGTGAAAAAAATAACACGTCTCTTTAATTTCGCTGTGGATGGAACCCATGATCAGTCTCTGACCAAAGAGCCCTGAATCTTCGCATGACTCGATACACGAGAGACAAGTGCCACCTGAATGAAGGCTCTTTTTGTACCACAACTGAGCTACGTACTGGAAAACTTCGTGTCTAAATAAAATGGTAACTTACCAAAGGCTTTCAAGATTCGGTACACCCATTAGTATACAATGTAATAACAAAACCGTGTTGCTTTGACGGAGGGCTAACGCTCGGAACGTCAGCTTTAGAAACTCTTTACGATGGCCAATTTACGTTATCAACTCAGTTAAATATATAGATTTAGCCAAGCCTAAAAGCGGAGCTCGTATTTTTTTCCCGCACGTCTCAAGGGCACAACGCCTTGCTCCGGCCAGGATTAGAACCTGGGTCTTCCGACTCGGAGCCCAGTGCACTGACCACCAAACCACTGGACAAAGCCGTGGCGTTGGCGTGCCCGCGGTACAGTTGACCACGTATGTTAAAAGTGGCACCTTGTACAGACGCCCGCACGGTCATAAGTCCAAATTTTTTCGGCTTGATGGGTTACTACCATTCTGTATAATTATGGGGCTACGCTCTGCGAGCTCCGCTATAAAACCAAATTATCTGGTAGTTCCCTCACCGACGCCGCACCACTGTTTCTTTGGAAACGTGCCCCCTTAATTCAGTTGCTAAAAGGAAGGCATGTTTACTGACATATTGTAAGGTATTTTACCGTTGCTCCTCCGAACACAGGACGTGTCCCTCCGTCCAGACGATACTTAATGGTCAAAATCAAGGGGGAGGCAGTTCGACCAATAACCTCACCCCCCTGATCTTCAATATGTTCGTCACTCCGTATCTCCAAGACCACGCAGTCTCCATGTAGGCTTTGCACAGAGACACCTCCAAGGCGACTGTGTAGTTCAACCACATCTGTCAACCTTGATAAAACAAATAACGGGAACATGGTTTATTGAGATTTAATTCGGTTGAATTTTGTAAAACGAATGAAGAAAAAAAAATGCAACGCTAACCAGAGTAAGGCTTCTCCCACAAGCCTGGTGGCTTCTTGGGTCTCCTCGCCTTCTATAAATCTAATGCTTTAGAGATTTTATTCAGTTTTGGATCGTTAAAAAGGCAAAGAAATGATGATGCAACGCGAGGGACCATTCCGCACATGGTTTTATTTTGTATCTACGTGTTTGGGTGGTTTTAGATAACTTTTAAAGTGCCTAATACGAACCAGGGTCTAGGTCATTCCAGATTACTTGAAAACTGCTTGTGATCTAAGAGCCTAATGCACGAAGGAAAAGAACTCTAGAGACACCATTAGGAGCATTCAAAAGAGGAATATTGCCAACTCCCCCACCCCCTCGACAGCAAGATAGTCCATCGCTGGTAACCTCCCTCCACCCCTGCAATTTTTTCAAGCACTCCCTGACAGTTCTCTGGTATCCGGTTGTACTCCAGGGTGGAGAGAGGCAGTGCAACAATTAACTCCCTTCCCCCCCAAAAAAACAAAACAAAACAAACAAAACGAAGCATAAAACAACAACAACAAAAAAAAGATCCCAAGACCAGCGCTAACCATATAGCCTGTGAACAGGCTCTATAGTTGAGGATGGGACGACGAGGAAAGCGTAAGAAAAGGAGCGAGGGGGTAGGGGTGGGGAGGAAGGCTATAACCTCAAGGACGCCGCGTCTCCTGCGTAGGGCTTGAAACATTTTTCTCGGGGCATACAGTCTAATGAAAACACAATGTATCGCATAATTGTTACGTTATGTGAAGAACTGACAATAGAGACATGTCATTTACCATTGACGCCTTTTCCGCTCTTGTTCGTCGTGATCTTTCGTCATCTCTGTTTGCCTCTTTAGTTCTTCCTCCCGTTCCTTGACAAACTCCTCCAGACGACTCACTTCACCCTTTAACAATCCTTTGCAGTGTTCAAGTCCAGAAATTGCAGCTGTACACTGCTGGATGGCTAATTCTGCCTCTGCCTATAAAAAATATAGCGCATCGCCTGTATATGTTCTTGCCTTTAAATCAGTGGAAAACTTGACCAGGAATACACTTTTCAAGAAAATTGGCTAAAAAATGTGTCAAGATACATGAGAATAACTCTCTGTACCGTGATTCTTCCGTGAAAGTCTTGGACTTGTTGATTAACAGTAAATTGTAAACTTCCTTCGCACATTAATGATTCATCAACATTACGCAGGGGTTGAGAAGAGTAAGATGCAAGAGCAGCAAAACTTTGCGACCCTAATGATAACCTACCTGCAGGCTCCCACTGATGCTACGACAAAAGCGTGAAAAGCCGCGCGATTTGAGTCGGTGAGCGATGTGGGCGCGCGAAGGTTCATGGGGATTATTGGAAGAAAAATGAGTTCCAAAACCCTCGAAGACCTCTTGCACGCTGACCAGTTCGAATCTGCCGCTCGTTCCACAGTGCTTTCGAAAGCCTGCTCGCAGGCAACAATGACAAATGCTGCAGCTGGCGTTAAGGTGGGGGAAAGTGAGGGAAGATGGCTTAAAAATCGTTCTTAAACCTCATCACTTACTTCAGGGAGCAGGCTCGATGCGTTATGCCTCGGATACAAAGAGTACTTACTAGTTCATTGTTCAATTCCAAATCCAATTTCAATTACTTTCATATTAAATCTTTTTCCATTTCACTTTTTTCTCTGCTGGATGTTTTAGTAATTAGACTTTGTTTCACTGACCTGTTTCGCTTTCACATCTTCCAACGAGCCATGGCTATTTTCCTAACGAGATGTCAAAACAAAAAAAAAAACAAAAAAAAAACGAAATAAGGGATTATTGTCAACTCTTTAAATTTCCAGAGCGCTGCAGCAACCTGGACAGATTTTCTCGATACTCATTTTTAATTCTAGGAAAAGTATTTTGAGGAAAGGCTACAATCCAATAGAGTAAAAACCCGTGCTTCTGACTAGAGATTCTTCATCTGATGAAAAAGAACTTTGAGACAGAACAGAGAAAAGTGTTTGTGATAACAGGGTGGCATTTACACTTCACATTGGCTTTTCCGAGTTTCTTTCATCTCTACTACTGTGTTAAAAATAGCCTCCACGCAAAATTTTGCGACAATTCTTGAGCTATGCAAAACTACCTTCAACGAGACAGAGACCACAAAATATTATAAAAGAAGTAAGTTTAAGTTTCTCAAGAAACTGTGGTGCTACGTCGGTGGGTTGAGGGGAGGGGAGGGGAGGGTGCGGTGTAAGATAAGATAATTTTCTTTTATCAACTAAGTTAATAAATGTAACTCGGCCACCGTAGAGTTTCTTAAGCTGACATTCTGAACGTGAACCCTTCGTCAGGGCGAACTACGCTCGGCTGACGTTCGGAAGGTCAGCTTTAAAATCTCTTTACAGTGGCTAAGTTACATCATCAACTTCGTTGTTAATGCTTAAGACAGAAAAGAAACATTCTAAAACCCATGAAGAGGAAGAATGGAGAATATTGAGATGGAATGCGGTCGACGAACCAGATAAAGTTCGGCAAAATTCTCCAAGATGCACCAATCTTTGCCTGAGATATTTCAGTACACTGTGACCAGTTTGTCTCTGCTTAAGAGATTGCGTGACCTATTGCATAAGCCAGCCGCAAGCTTAAGATTGCGTGGGCAGGCGGAAAGAACCACATGGAAATCTAGAGTGTGCTACTGATTCTAAACAATTTTCACAGTAAATACTTCCTTAGAGGCATTCTTCAAACATGAAATATCTCATTAAGTCTCCAAGGAAAAGTCACGTTGAAATCTAAAAGGCGACAGCTAGTCTTTGCTCGGGATCAAACTCCAAACCATGACTCATGATAGTTTTGTCAGAGGGTAAACATAAAATAACGATCGTGATTGGAAGATAAAGAGAATAGAGTGTCATGTTGACATAAATCTTTAGGCCCCAGGGTTTAAAATTTCAATTTCTGAAAAGAAATCACTAGGTGATTATGTTGGGCCTGAAAAGAATTTTGGGTCTGTCTGGCGGAGTGTTGGTTGACGAGGAAAATCGAAAGGAACTCTGAAGCGCGGACGAATGCTAACGGCTTTTATAGGATTGTAACTGTGATTTCATCCTATACAGCTATCAAAACGTTTCATTGGTCTACAATCTGTGAACTGGAGGCGTGATTCGACAAAACAATTGTGTGAATTTATAGCAATCCTAAAACCAATTTATCTGGAACCTTGTTAGAGGATAACAATCACTGAGTCGGTCAGTTTTCGATCTGATAAGGTATCAAGCCAGTTTTCCTTTAACTTCTGCGTTCGGCTCGGCTCGGCTCGACTTCAAGGAAAGAGATGAGTTGGATTCGAGATCAAGGTCATTTGTCTCGTGTTTTAGAGGAAGAGCTGAAATGTCCGGTGTGCCTAGACGAATTCGAAGATCCAAAGAATCTGTGTTGTTCTCACACAGTCTGCAAACAGTGTCTGAGTCAGATGGTGGAACACAATTTGCTTCGATCCTTCTTGCGTTGCCCCACCTGCAGGCGAGAAACTGAGATACATTTTCCGGAGGGCATCGACGGTCTGCCTACAAATTACATCGCGATTGCTCTAATATCTGGGAAAAGTAGAACCAAAGACATCAAGGAGGTGGAGGACCGTATAAATAAATGCAAGGAGACTTTGCAAGAAAAAAAGGGATTGTTGTTCAAGATCATGGACACATCGCAGAGTCTTGGAAACCGAAGGCAGCAAGTTGAAGGTGAAATTCGGCAAGCTGCAGAAAGAATTGTGCTGATGGTGAGAACTAGAGAGGAAGAACTTATACAAGAGCTTAATTCGGCTGTGGCTCGACAGCAGAGTGATTTAAGACAGCAAAAAGTTGTGATACAGAATTTGATAGCAGATGCAAATAGGATGCTCAATGATGCCCAGCAACAAATCAATGCACTCTCCACAAAGAGGCTTGTTGAAGCTAAAGATTCGATCCTATCTCAGCTCCGAGACATTGATGGTATAGAGTCGGACATACCGGAAATTAATCCCATTGTATTTACCCCAAACACAAGTTTTAACGAAAGTGAACAACTAACTAAGCTTGGAAAACTGGACGTTCATTCTATTCAAGAAAACCCAGAGAGCTCTGACATTCATTCAATTAGTCTCGATTACTCAACAGGTGAAATACAAATTTCTGCTTTTGGAACACCTGGGGCTGACGAGGGTGAATTTACCCTCCCGTGGGGCGTGGCCATACGGGACGATGGCTGTATTGCTGTTGCTGATCATGCTAACAGCAGGATTCAAGTATTTGATCATCAAGGCAGTTTCCTTCGTTTTTTAACAGATGATGAAGTAGAGAGTGTTCACCTTCCCACCGGCATTGCGTTTGACCTTGATCATCACCTTGTAACCTTCGATGATGAAACTCACAAAATCAAAGTATTGGACTCTGAAGGTCGGCTGATTAGGTGCATGAACACTGAGACTAAACTTGGCACCAAAGTGGAGGGAATATCAGTTGATAATGAAGGACACATAATTGTCACGGACTCGTCAAATGAACGGGTACTAGTGTTTCACCATAGTGGACATTTATGTCTTGAATTCGGAGCTGATGGGAAAAACAAGCTGGGCTGGCCATCATCTGCAGTTTTCCATCAAGGGCGATTTATTGTCTCTGACACATTTAACCACTGCCTCAAGGTGTACAACCGACATGGTGTCTACCTTCAGCAGATTGGAAGATCAGGAAGAGAGCCAGGACAATTTATCAAACCGCGAGGACTGGCTGTGGATTCAGGAGGTAACATACTTGTGTGCGATTCTGGCAACTGTCGCATCCAAGTCCTTGACTCTTATGGAAACTTCGTAAAGAGCTTTGGAGGCTTTGGTGAGGAAGAGGGAAAGTTTTGTTTGCCATACTCTGTGGCAGTTGGAAAACGGGGGGAAGTAGTTGTGTCTGACTGCAACAGTCATCGCATACAGATTTTTCGATTCCCATCTCTTAATGAAAGCTCAAATCCTGCTTAACCCTTTAACTCCCATGAGTGACCAAGAGAGAATTTCTCCTTACAATAGCAATACAAAATCAACCAGATAAGCGTTGAGAGTAAAGAAAAATATCAATTTGGGGATAATTAGTTGATCCAATGCTGAATTCTCTGAACTAACATTACAAGAATTGTATGGTTGACAGTAAGGATAATTACAAATTTGATGTGGGACTTAGAGGGTTAAAGTGAAAGAGGTGATGGAGTGATTTCAAAATTAACTGCAGTTTCAATGAAAATCAATTGTTGCTAACTTTTGTATTTAGTGGAAAGAATGATTAAACTTTGATGTGTTTTGTGAGCAAAATAGAAAAAAATTTATAGTGAGCTGATAAGCTTAAGCAAGACATAATAATTCGAGAGTACTTTTGTAAAAGAAAATTTGCAAATTCCAGTGCACAATCAATTTTTATAGATTCTCATTTTCATACAAGTAAAACTTTGTTTGGCCAGCAGTCGTTTGAGTGATAGAAGAGCCATTTAATTTTAAATCCTTTATAGATTGCTCACTTCTAAGTGACTAATAATGAGCTCCAGCATGATTCGAAATTATTTTAGTGGCTGTTTTGGCAAGTTTTTCATTTTGAGCCAGGCTGCTAGAAGAAACTCTTAAAAAAACTTTCATGCAAATCAGAAAAATGAGGTCACTGTAAGATGTAATCAGACAATTTTGTCATTCATTAATGGTGCATAAAATTAACCCTTTAAACCCTGAAAGTGACCAGCATCTAATTTCTCCTTACATTAATTTGGCTGAACCATATATTAAGATCATGAGAACAAAGGAAATGATTGCCAAGCTTTGATTGTTAAACAAATTCTCCTTGTCGGTACTTAAGTAAATGCATAGAGAAGAGTATGGAGAATATAGATTCTGATAAAGGGTTGACAAAATTTTCTTGAAGGTACCCACACTGGCTTCAAAATGAAGAAAGACAGAAAAGTCACATGTGCAAGCTTGAATGCACCCTTTTCTGCAGTTGTATAGGCTTTTCCCTACTTCCATTAAAAGCTGTTAACAGATAGGATTGTGGTTTTGTTTTAAAAGATGTTGATGGGGAAGGCAGACCATGGTTTAATGGGTCAAACTGATGAATGCAAAGTAATTTAGCCATGACTGGAATTGATATCAAAACTGTTCAGAGAGCACCCTTGAGCCTTGATTTTCTCTTAGGAAAACATTATTCAATTCCATAATGCAGTTAAGAATTAAGGAGGAAAAGCACGACTTGTTAGTGCTTAAGCCCAGTCTGAAATACTGAGGGAAAATGGGTTGTATCTACCTTTTCCTGCACTTTGTTGCTCATTTCCTCTAACTTCTCTTTCAGCATTTCAAAGTTCTTTCTCTAAGAACAAAAAAGTTATAAAACTGTTAATAACTTACAGTGATTTTATTAGGTTTAATTGTGTTTGTTATAATTTGGGAGTTATGCCTAGAGCTGGTGTTTATTATTTGCTAGATCAGATAACAGCTTTATCTTTCCATTTACAGCCACCCTCCCTAGAGATACAATAACCTAATGGTTAGCATGCTAGACTCAAAGTTGAGAGGTTCCCATTTAATTCCTTGCTGGATCATTATGTTGAGTTCTGTGGCAAGACACTTAACTCTCCCAGTGCCCAGTCTACACCCAGGAGTAGAACTGGGTAACAGTGAACTGACAGGGAAGCCTGGAAAAAATTCTGAGGGAGGGGGGGAGGGTTTAACCTGCAATGAACTACTAGCATCCCCATCCCTCAAGGGTAAGTAGCAATAGTGCTGGTTGTTTCATGTTACAAAAACCAGGTTAAACTACTGCCTGTTACAGGCTACTAGGCTTGAATGCAGGCCTCACCTTTTTTAACTCAATTTGCCTGAATGAATTTAAAATTTTTATGTCTAGGGCTATGAAATGGTTTCATTTAATTCAAAAAATATCAAAAGGTTGCTGCCACCTGAATCCTTCACCATGAAAGATGGCTGAAATAAGTAAGTCATGCTAACAGTGTCTAGGCAAACATATTAATTTGGTGATCACAATTAAAACATGTAATAGTTCTAAAAATAAAAGTAACACCGAATTTTACAGACTGCATTTGTTATATTTATTTTACCTTGTCCTTTGTGCTGACAAGTCTGTTTTCCAAAAGGTCAAGCTTCTCTTTCAAAATTTTATGTTCTGCCAAGTCAATACCATATTAGTGAAGAGCAGTTTTCAATTGAATGTTGATAGCAATGTAGGATTGCCTTTTTTTTAGCTTCACTCTGCCTTGTGATTGGTCCAGAAAACTTGCACCATTTTCTCAACCAATCAGATTAAAAACTAACACCAGTTACATCTTAGTCACCTGCATTTTCCCACCCCTCAGGCACTTTACATGGTTTTCCTTTTGTCTGTTGATTGTTTTGGTTTTGGTTTTAGGGCAATTATCAGTTATATGAAAGGTTCTCACATGAGACTCATGTCCTGCATTCTGATAGAATCAAAAAAATTGAAAGCATGGAGACACTGAGAAAGATGATAATGAAGAACATTCTTATGGTAATTCCTTCAAAAAAAGATTTACGGTGATCTGATCAACCACAACTTGAGAAAAATTTAATGTTATCTAAACAACCACTGTATCAAGTAATGGAAAATCTGAACAAGAGTAAAATTATGTATGAAAGAGGGTAATTAAAGCTTTCAAGATTAAAATTTTTGCAGCTTTTCCAGCTATCATACAACTAGGTTCAGTGAATCTGGTGACAATATTTTTAAGTATTTAAAAGACCTCAATTGATTACCATAATAATTCTAAGAAACTAAAAGTTTATGTTCAACTCACTTGTAGAGAGAGTTTCAGCCATGTCATCAATCTGTGTCTCCAGCTCCTCAATCATTACTTTATCTTGCTTGCTTTCACTCCTAACATTTGATTGGTGCTCTAAATAGAAATCACCACAAATACAGTACAAGAGCATGACTGAATGATAAAAATGAATGAACTGCTTCAGTAATAATATCATGCAAATTTCTCTTTTTCTTACACTGAAAGAAAAACCACCTCTAAAATTCAATTTGTCTCGTTTACTGGCTGTGGAAGAGAGGGTGGGATAAGGGATTTAGGAGATTAAGGGTGCAACCATCCCCCCCTGAAACGAGTTAGGGTTTTCTAAATGAATATGACTAGTATTCTGAGAAAAAATAAAGAAAAAAACTAAGTGGTTTATTGGTGTTGAACTAACGCATGAGACGAGGCTGAAGAATTTATGTGTAATGCCATAAAAGCAGTAGTTTGATACTGAAGTTTCAGGCATTACCCCTTCTATTTGTTATAGCAGATGTCAGTTATGTCATTCCTTATGGCACACCCCCTCCAAAGAAAAATCCTTGATCTACCCCTAGGCTCCCTCCCACCTTTTGGAGAGGAAAAATATCGTCAGTTCAGTGAAAATTGGCAGAGGGGTATACAATAGAATCACAAGATTGAAATCTGAATTTAGCATAATTTTCTAACCATAAGTGAGCATGTAATTGAGTATTGCTGATTCAAGAGTAACCCAGTATTGAGTATTGCTGATTCAAGAGTAACCCAGTATTGAGTATTGCTGATTCAAGAGTAACCCATTATTGAGTATTGCTGATTCAAGAGTAACCCATTAACCCCTTAAAGTGAATGGTCTCTAATTTATCCTAACAGCATCACCCTTGAATCAAATGCAAGGTTCATAAGAGTTAGGAAAATCAAGTCACCAAATTAAGAAGCTAATGATCATCAAGAAAATTCTCTTTATATAGGAAATGTTAAGAGAAAAGTGTGGAAAAAATTAAGATCAATGTTAGGGTGAAAAGGTTTCAAATAAGAGCTGTGAGACAAAAGTGCAGGTGATAAGACAAATAAGTTACTTTCATCACTTGCCTTCTGATGAATGGATATTAAATATTGTATGATTTCTCACCAGTCATTTCAAGATCACTAGCTGAAGACCAATTTTCTCTCGCCATTTCCAAAAAACGAGATTGAGTTTGTAACCTTATCAAAATAGTTTTCAGACTTGCCAGATGATTCTGTAACGAAAAAAGAAAAATGTCCAGCATATCAAGACAAGGCAATTAGAGAAAAAAACGTTTATGGTTGAATTTCAATTTCAAGTCAATTTTTCCTGCTGATAATATTTTCAGAAAGGTTGACAGTCGATAAAAGCCAATACTCAGAACTGCACTCTCTAACTCAGCTGCCACAGACGACTGATCACTTTTGTCGAGTCTTCTTAGAAAAACTTTCCTTTTATGAAGCTCTTGAGAGCTGGGCAACTCAGAGTTTTTGCAGCAAGGGCCTTTAGGTATCCAGCGATTCTTCTAAGAGCATAACTTTGATTAAATCGAACATTTTACCTTGTGCTTTTGTAGCTGCAGTTCATGATTAACATCTCCGATGTTTAAGATCTCAAGATTTTTGTCTACATTTTGGCTGTGATTTCTGATATCTTGAAAGATCCTGTTATGTCATAATCAAAAACGAGTCGTATGGTAAGCAACACCGTCAATTTAAAAGAAAAAATGCGTAATCATGCGTTTGGCATGCCGCATAACGAAAAAAGTATTGAAACCTTTCTATTCCGTCCAGTTCAGAATTTCCTTCGGCCGCCATTTTTCAAACTGACCGCCAACCAAAACAAGCGAGACTGCACTTCTGGTTGTCAGCGGCCTAGATTTCGTAACCAATCTTTTTCAACTTCAAACATTTACTTTCTCTTTCCCTTTTCCGTTTTCCTTCATGAAGATTTTGTGATCGAACCATGTGGTTCATGTCGATAGTCTTTTATGATGATGAGCTCTTTGGTTAGTCAAGATTATGATGCAGAATCAGGAAGCCATCATTCCGCCCCCGGTACTAGTTATCCCTCATCAGGTTTGCCTACTTCAGCAACGCATCGCAGATTTTCCCCAGCTCGCCGGCTTTTTTGTCTTCTTGCACTCTTCGATTTCTTGGCCACTTTGTTTATTTGGATTTTGTACGCGCATGTAAGTAATCCCTTTTTTTTTTGTTTTCTTTTTTTGTGAAAGGTATGTTAGCTAATAGGTCGCAATAAGCGTAATGTCGAAAGCGGAAATAATTAATATTCTATGTAGGACAGTACGTTTTGTATAGACGCAAGATACAGAAGCAAGTTCACATCAGTATGCATAACTGTTGTCCCGATGAGATATCATGCATTTCAGGCATTTTCAAGTCTATAAAGTGCCTGTTATCACTTAAATCTCAGTTATTTCCATGGCTTTGTATTTCACTTGAGCTCAATCAAACGTTTTCGTTCGTGATCCTTGGATAATTCACGCAAGAGTTAGAGATCACATGATCACGTATAATTTCCTTTTGATACCAGTACTATTTTCTACCATTAGTATTGCATAGACATACACTGTAATCGATAAGAAAAGAAAAAAGTTATTCATCCCTAAAAGTTTTTGAAAATCAAATCCACACAATTTTTGCAGAAACTGCCAAAGAAAATACAAGCTCTTGAAAATTTACACTTAGGACTTTTTTAAATTTTTGTTCTTGAAGACTGATGAATATAATGAAGGCCTATAACATACATTCGCTAGCTACTTTGTAAATTTTGATCAAAGACATAAATTTAAGTATGTTTTGAATTGATCATAAGTCTGGGATTTAACCCTTTAACTCTCCTGAGTGACCAAGACAGAATTTCTCCTTACAATATCAATACATATCAAGCCAACAACTGATGAGAAAAAAAAAAGTATCAATTAGTGAATTATCAGTTGATCCAGAACCAAATTCTTTGAACTAACTTCATGAGAACTGTAGAGTGAGAAGAATTACTAATAAGATTCTGGAAGTGAAAAGGTTAGATTACTGGAAAATTAGATAACTAGTGTTGATTACTAGACCATTGATAGAAAAGAAACAATTTAAAGGTGTGTCTTGGTACTTTAAAGATAGCAGATTTCAACTGTAAAAATTTGGTGCACTTATTAGCTCAGTGAGATTTGTGACAATGCTTCCTTCTTCAAGGCTTAGAAATGAGTGCAATGTTTTAAAACTTTGTATGAATCAATTTTCAGGGTTTATGTGGTGAGTTTAAGGAAGTTATCAAATCTGATGTTCAGAAGTACAGTTTTAAAAAATCTTTGTGTGATTTAGTGGTAAGTGTTTAACTCTGATGGGATTTTTTTTCTTGTTAGATGTAATCCTCATCACAGATAATCTGACACAATGATAACCAAACAGTGCTATTGTCCAGCCATATTTACTGAGCAAGAATGGTGACTAAAGATTTTTTTATACAGCCAAAATTAAGCTAGCGCTCAACAATTTTACTCCTGTAACTGCAAAATTAGAGTGAAACCTCTCCTTGGTTTTTCTCAGGTCATTACCAACCATCCCCAATGTAGCTCTAGTCTTTTACATGTAGTTTTGGGTTTTTAAATATGAATTTTTAAATTTATCAGAAATTCAATTTGGGCATTAAGTTTCAAGAATAAAAATGTTTTAGTTTGCTAACTCATGATGTGACTTGCATGTTTAGATGTTGGCATTGTGGCGGATGACTGTTCTTCTTCTTGCTTATGCCCTATATGTTAGCCGAAAGTGGTATGCTGTAGGGGTGAGTATAAAAGATTTGTACACACACCTAGCCTGTAGAGCAGTTATAATTGTCACTAGCAAGTGATATATTCTTGTTGTAAATCATAGCTGCCATCTTTGATTTTTAAAGCATGGGAAGGCTAGGCAGAGAAAGAAATTTGTGCCAAGGGTGTGTGACGGTTGTAAGAAATGAGAGGGGAGCAGAGGTGGGGTTTTCTCTGCCTTCTTCCCCCTTTGTCCACTCTAACTCTTAATCAACCTGGCCTCTTGGCCATCAGATAAATTTTTGCAAACTTTTACTTTAACTTGCTCTAATAACACCCTTGCACTGCAAGCTAACACATATCTTGATAGCATTATCTACAGGTGCATTGTTAATGTAAAATAGTGATTAAAATACAGCACAGAAACTCCACTGAAAATAATATTTAGTAAATAGTTGAGTTGAATTGAATGAATTCTTCGCAGAAAATTTTTGACAGCAACACTTTGATTAAAAAAAAATTTAAATGTTAGCACATATATGCAGTGTGCACGACAAAATGCTTATGAATTAGTCAGCCCATCATCAAGAAAAACTGACCAATAAGTTTCCACAAGTTAGACTCATCGTGTCAGACTGATAAACAACTCCTTGCTTAACTCTGGTGATGACTTGTGTTCAGGTTGTCAAAATTTTAGTAACTGCCAGTGCTAGGAGTCCTTTTTAGGTGTATGCTTGCCCTGTAGGAGTAAACAAATCAATCAATTGTAGCTTTAACAGTGCCCAAATAATTTATTGTTTTAAATTGTGATTTATTTCCAGATCCTGTAGGAACATTGAGATAATTCTTTTTTTCTCTGTATGATTTTCTTTAATTTATAGTTGACAACTGGCAGCTCAACTGTTTTTCTTCTAGTCAAAGCCATATTAATGAAATTCACGGTAAGTTAACTTTATGAACTGGATAATGTTAAACACTTAAGGTGTATCTTAGAAATGTGTTAATGAGGCTCAATAGCAGCAAAGTAATGAAAAACATAAGAACAGACTTCTATTTGCACAAGGTAAAAAGTACTTGTACTAGTTAGGTAGCAAAACTTTTGTAAAACAATTGAAAATTGCTACAAGTGGTGCAGTTAACATTTCCAATTTTGTACAAGGATTTATGACTTGCGTGTTTTTGTGGTACTTTTGAAAAGTGTTTTCTTTGACTGACTCTTTTATCAAAGGGGACAGTCATATTTGAGAGCTCTTTTTTGGTGCAAGGTAAACCAGGGTTGAAGGGGTGCATGGAAAAAAGGCCCAAGTGACTTATTATCAGCTACCGTTGTCTCATTTCAAATTGACTCTTCTTCCCTTATGAAACAGAGGGAGAATTAAGTGTTGCATCAGTTGTTACTCACATGCTTCCCTTATTTTGATACTTACCAATCCCTTCTTTTTGTCGGCCACCCAAAAAATAATGGATCATTACTAGTTAAACAACAACTTTTTTTCTTCCTTGTTGGGATCATGCTTACAATTTGCAATATGTACTTATTCCTGTCATAAAAACTAAGTTGCGATAAAGAAATAAAAAATCCTTATGCTCACAATTCACAGCTAAGAATCAAGCCTTGTATTGCTCAAGTTTAAGTAATAATTTGTTCAACTAATGTTACAATTGACCCTTGTTTAAGTTATGTCAACTTTTTCACTCAAAGATCTCATCAGTAACTCTTCTTACTTTCTGCCATGGAATTCTTACAATGTTACTTCAGAGAATTTAGTATTGGATCAACCAATACATGTAATCCCTTGATTGATATTTTTCTTTATTCTCATCACTTGTCTACTTGATATTGTTTTGATTTTTGTAAGGAGAAGTTCTGTGTTGGTCACTATGGGAATTCAAGAGATATGGCCATTATCCCATGTATTGATATGTTCAACTTCAGGTCACGGTTTATATGAACTTGACACTTGGAGCAAACTTATGAAAATTGCCCTTCTCAAAATGTTCCTTCCTAAATCCTCTTCTATAATGTCTTGCAAACCTGATTAAAGATTGATTCATGAACATCCAATCTAAATTTAACTAAAAAATTGAAGGGGAATTGACACAGTCCTATCATCTAATTACGTTTTTGGTTTGTTCCCTGTGCAGTCTCCAAAAGATGGAACCAGCGGATATTTGTACTATGTCCTAGTCTTGTCGTCGCTTATTTTATCGTGGGTAGAAGTTTGGGTTTTTGATTTTAAGGTATGTTACACAAATGACTATTTATTAAGAAAATATTCTCTTGAATGTCGAAAGGAATCCGAAATTTTTTTGGTTTTGCATCAATTCGGTCTGTGATTGGTCTAGAAAGTCTGCGCCTTCCTCTTAACCAATCAGACGCTAAAGAAAACCAAACGTGACTTGGTAGCACGCGTTTTCCCGCGTTTTTGGTAGTTTGCCTGTTTTACTTTGAGTGCTCTTTTATTTGGCTAATGATGATATAAAACATATTTATTATTGTGCAGTGGGAGATACTGTAGCCATACGGTTAGCGCGTGCGCTAAAATCAGGAAAATTATCTGAGAAGCACGACGAAATTCTGTGGGGTAATCTTAGGATGAACTGGCATCTTCTCCAAGTAGAGGAAGAAGTAATACTCCGAGTCACTTCATGCCACAGAAATCGTGATAAGTTCCCGCAGCTGGATGAGCCACGTGGCTCGATTGCAGACTTGACATTTCCACTCAAGTCACCAGCTACGATGAAATTTATAACAGGCTGAATTACACACGCGTTTTGATTGGTCTTTACTCGTGATCTATTGGAGGAAAGACGCATAGATGACGTCACCAGTAACACAATTTTTCTTCTTGATTGTGTGAAACAAATGAGCTCCATGTTGCCGTGCATCTTTCCAGAAATAGATCACAGACGTCAAAATGTGGTAACACTCGTCTGCGCCTCGTGGGCCACTTTTTTGTTCTCACAAAATCTTGAGGTCATCTGTGATCCACAACTGAACAGGCGCACGGCATGGAATCTATTTGTTAACCCTTTACACCCTAACATCAGTATGCATATTCTCCATACTGTTCTCAATACATTTCCTGAGGTGCTGATAAGGAGAATTTGTTTAACAATCTAGAGCTTCTATCGTTGGTGATCATTTCCTTTTTTCTTGTGACCTTTCTGTGTGATTTGGGGTTGATATTGTAAGGAGAAATTAGATGCTAGTCACTCTCAGGGGTTTAATGGTTAATCTGTCCTCACAGCCACGTTCTTAAAATATACCACACAAGTATCATTACATCTTTTTATGTAGGAATCCAAATCCAACATGCTGACTGTCCCAGCTTTAAACAGATATTATATTTTAAATCATTCAGGTTATCCCTGCTGAGACCAAAGAGGAGCAGCGCCAGTTTCGAGGTACAGTGAAACATTTACTAAGCGGACCACCAGTTAAGGTGACACCTTCGATTAAGCAGACACTGAGCCGGGTCCCGAAATTAATGTCTTACATTCCCCTTAGTTTATAACGAAACCCATCAGCTTGCATCTCTTTTTAAGCGGACGCGGACACTAACAAAAATTGTATTTGGCCAATTTCTATGGTTAAAAACCTCTACGAAGTGGACACCGGACTACTGTGTGTAATTTGTACATAAACACTGAAAGAGTCAATGAATTGCGCGTATTATCGTTGTTGTTTTTGTATTATTACCTACAAATTAAGGTTGGTAATGAACTGTAATGAACTTGAACTCTGGATTCCTTCGTTAGTAACATGGAACTTTATCGCAGTACAGAGTAACCGTTGAATGTTAATCGTTAACAATTATTGCGCAATTTTTACAAACCTCTATTTAGTGGATTCCCACTATGAAACGGACACTTGAGAATGTTTCGAGGGTATCCGCTTAACAGAGGTTTCACTGTATATTTGATACTTGTTTGTCCAGAGAGCTAAGTTACTCTCTGACAATCTTGATCGACCCGAAATCTGAACTGTTTTGGATTAAAAAAAAAAAAGGAAACCTTTTCGCTTATGTGGAGGTTCCTTTGCATCGTGTGAAATTAAGCTTGGTTTAAGTTTGATATGCTTTGTTCTCTACTTAATTCTTGGGCTCCCTGTGCATGCCCGTGCTTTCCACCGTAGTGCGCGAGAAATGTTCTTACGTGGAACAAGCGCGAATAGTAGAATTCTAATTTTCCCAATGTGACAAACTTTTCGGTAAAAAGGCAAAAGATTATTTTGAAAGCTACTCTCAGTAATACCTCAAACCATTTGAAATGGACCCGGGTTAATCAGAATTTATGTCAGAATAAGTTGTAAAAAAAAAATTTGATGAAGGAGTTAAACTTGCGCAACCTGGTTTCGTTCGTAGCGTGCACTAATAAAAGCCTTGTTTGATATATATTAAAGTTCACACGGCAATCAGGTGGACAATCAGACATAGTTTGATGCTACACTGGTTTGCAGATTTAATGAATGTAACCGAAGAAGTTACAATTCATAGACCCAACGTTTCGACACTCCTGTCTAGTGCCTTCATCAGGGGTGATCTAAACGCTGCAACAAGAGGTCCTTTTATATGATCACTAATTAGCGGCCTTTTTTCTGACGAGGTGTAAATAGGCGTCAGGAAGCAAACCGCCATCGTCATAATATGCCAAGCCTCCAAACAAAAGCGCTGGTGGTAGCGCCGATTAGTGGTGATAATTTTAGAATTATCCCACCCAATTGTATGGTTGGTTAGGCAAGTATGCTCCGATAAAGCTTTTTGGTGCTCTTTTAACCGTGTACCAAACTGGCGTTTGGTCTGTCCGATGTATTTGTTGTCACAGTCATTGCAAGGAATAGAATAAATGGCGTCGGTTCGTTGTTCTTTCTTTTCATTTGCCGTTCTTCATAACCATTGATAAGAGAAATGAGCCTTTCTCTAAATGCTTAGTAATATAGTAATAATAACTATCTCTTGTTTATTATTTGCAGAAGAGAGGAGGTCATTGTTACGAAATGAAAACCGCAGGTAAGCCAGACATGAAGGTATCTTGGGATTCAACCTTGTAGCCAATTATTCTCAGTTCTTAGTCTTTAACGGTTACTTCGTGAATCCTCAAATTAGCACCCGAGGACCCGGGCACCTGTGCTCTTATTATTAGTTCAAACAGAGATGAGCCTGAGAGGCATCGACTCGAAGAGGCCGCTCATTAAAGGGGAAGCACATATTCCTTTTTTTCTAAAATTCGTAGCTAGGTAAGATTGTTTTTGGTGATATAACGTAAAGATTAAGTACAGCCCATCTTTTTGCTTGAAGAAGACTCGCAAAGGGCGAAACATCACTGAATTCACACCGAAAGTGGTCAGGATTTGCGAGAGTAACTTTATATAAGAATATTTATTGCAAAGAAAGTAGTTGTTTAAACTCTTTACAGCCCAAAATCATGATCCGTTTTCTCCTTTCTGTTTTCAAGACATTCTATAAGGTGCTTTCAGGGAGAATGTGTTTAACAATCAAGAGCCTCTCTAGTTAATGATCATTTCCTTATTCTCATGACCTTGATATGTGATTCAGGGGTGATATTGTAAGGAGAAATTAGATGCTGGTCACTCTTAGGTGTTAAAGGGTTAAGAATAGTATGTTGCTCTTCTTTTTCAGGCACCTGACTCCTTATTCGACAATTTCGGACAATGCTTTTTACACACCAGAAGGTTGGTTTGATGGTAGTTATTGCCTGTAATTTTCTAATATGTCATTCGGTGTCGTTAGACTTGTAGTTGTACTTGTGGGTTTTTTATTGTTTGCTTTTGTTCATCTGTGTAAAACTTGTTAAATATGTTTCTGATGAATAACTGTGGAGGTAAAAGGGCTTCTCGCTGTGATATTGTGTACAGCCCATGTCATTAACCTACTCTCTTTTCTCACAGGCTCAGTGAAACTTTAAAATGTAAGCTATGTCTCGCTGCAATTTATCTTAGTTACTCTTACAAAGAAATATCTACCCATGTTTTGGCATTCTTCTATTTGAGTGTCTTCTGGTCAGTGGCTTGAACGCCCTAGCTATTAAGAATGTATCGCATAGAACCTGTTTGACTTTCATTTACGCCAACTTGGTTTGATCTTTTTCAGCGTCTGATGAAGAAAGTGAAAATGATAGGGAAGAGGCTGGTAATTTGACCTTGTCTCAAGAGGTAACTGTTTCTCATGAACATTTCCAGTTTATTGTTCCTTGCCTTATATAACCTTTTGTAAATGGTCACTTTTGAAAACAGCGCAGAATCCGAAGGTCTGGGGATTTTTATTTATTTTTTTCCACGCTCGTTACAAGACGAATATCATTTTTCCTTAAACAATTTTGATTTCTTGATAAATGGCCTTAGTTTGAGCTTCTTGTAATCAAACACCTTAACTATTGAAAACTTTTAAACACATTACTCAAATCGGCCACATTTGGGGTGCATATCGGGAGCTAAGACTGGGCCAACTAAATGTGCGGGAAACTGGGTCGAGAATTTCCGGTGAACTTTCTGGGGATAAAAAATTGGACAAAAATCAAACAAAGTTTCCCTACCTGGCTTGGCGCTTCGAGAGTAGGAGTTCTTGTTTTAATTGCAGTACTACACTTTGAAAGGGCAATAGACGTAACTTGTCGTTTTATTTTATTGTTTTTTTACGTGAAAATTAGTCTTGATTTCGTGTACTGGACCCACGCCCTTCGATACGATGTACCCCAAAGTGTTCATTAAATTCCTGTTCCAAAATGTCTCGTGTGCTCACAGGCGTACCTAAAGAGTGTCTGCACAATCTAATGAATTAATCTCTCGTTGTTGATCTGTTTGGCCGTTAAGGATCGAGAATTTATTCAGAGAGGGAAAGATACGATGGAGATAACCTGGGAAAGAATGCGTCTTAATGATGGTTGGAAAACGGAAAAAGCTAAGGTGAGGACTTCTTTTTCTGTAAGAATAACAGTAGAACATTCCACCAAGCTTGTTTTTGTAGATTCACCAAGAGCTTGTTTTGTTTTCCCCTATCTTTTTTCTCTTTTCACTTTTCTTTTTCTTCCTTTTTGTATAGGATGGAGTTGTTGTAGAAAGTAGAGTGATTCCGCTACCCGCAGGTGGAAAGAAAATATACAGATTAACGGTAATGAAAGTTTTACAGGGGATTTCTAGTGTAGACGCAATAAACCTTTCCAAGAGAGTAACAATCGGGCTTGAGGTCTATTTGCAGTTGTTCTTTCCGAGCTTTGTTACTGACAAGAAAGAATGCATCGTGAAATATTTCAGAACTGTCGTAAGACTCGATGAATCAAAAGCGTAAAATCTCTCGTGCGATGTGCACGAATAGGGTGTGTGCGAGGCGAAGGCGAAAACATTGGAAAAGCGATACGAATTTGATGTGATACAAGAAGTTTCGACATTCAATTTTCAGCTTCACTCGCAAACCTTTGTGAATAATGAACTCGCACCTCTGTGTTTGTTTAAAACCCTTCTTAACCTTTTGACCCTTAAGAGTGACTAATCTAATATCTCCTCACAATATCACCCTTAAATAAAACATTGAGGTCACGAGAATGAAGGAACTTGATTGTTAAACAAATTGTCCCTGTCAGCACCTTAAAAAATGTATGGAAAACAGTCGAACAATATGCATACTGGAGTTAGGTTGTAAAAGGTTAAGAGCTGTAATATTTTGAAGAATTTGTTTTTTCTTTAGCCTGCGACGCTGCGGCACGAACAACTCTGCAACACGAGCGGCAAAGCCCACGTGTTTCGAGAAGGCGAGAGGTGTGAGCGCGCGAGTTATCCGCGAGCGTTTTAGCACGGAGAGTGTTACACAATGAAGTGGTCAAACGTCGGGCATTCGCGAGAGAATCAACTTTGGGCGCCCGGGCGAAATTTCTAAGAAAAACCTAGGAAACAACTGCTGTCCCGCAAATAAACAAAAGAAAATCGAGATGTTCATAGAAATTTGCAAAAGGATGAAGAAGGAGGGAAAAGAAAACCCGAGAATTTTCGAACCCGAAGTTAATTCGAGTTCGTATATCCTGTTGCTTCACCAAAAAAGTTATACGCTTTTAACCCTTTACACCCTAACATCAGTATGGATATTCTCCATACTGTTCTCCATACATTTCCAAAGAGGCTGACATGGAGAATTTGTTCAACAGTCAAGAGTTGCTTAAGTTGGTGATCACCTCTATTCTCGTAACTTTCATGTTTGATTCAGGGGTGATAATGCAAGGAGAATTTAGATGTTAGTCACTCTTAGGGGCTAAAGGGTAAAAAGGGTAAAATAAACTCCATGTGTAACTTGGTTTGTGTTGTTGTTTGTAACTTTTGTGAGAGAACTTGGTTCTGACAGCCTGAAATCACGCCAGTCACTACAACGCACATGCGCAGACGTTTGACCGCAGTGTTGTGTCAGACCTTTCTTAGACCTCTTGCACGCTTGTTCTGCTTTCCGAATCTCTCTTGCTTTACTCGAACGGCAGTGCTAATGATTGCTTGCTTGCTGGGTAGATTGATGTGTAGATGACTATTTTAGGTTTTGAAAAATCTAAATAAGTGTTTTGATCAATCTCTGCTCAATCTCTTCTCTTCGTTCCAAAAGCCAACTGCTCTTCACTTGGGGATCGGGCCTTTGCTCATGCTGCATCTGTTTTATGGAACTCGCTGCCATTATCTGTAAGAACAAGTAGTAGCCTCGCCATTTTTAAAAAGCAACTTAAAACATTTCTATTTAGGAAAGCTTTTAGTTTGTTTCAATAGTTCTAATATTTATTGCCTTTTAATATTTTAATTTTTATTAGTATAGAACTTTAACTTATGTAAAGCGCTTCTGAATACTGTTTATAGTTTTAGCGCTATATAAATTCCTTATCATTATCCTTATCATTGATATTAACAGGGCTCTTTAGACGCCAAAGCAGATGAGGTTTTTAATCTGGTTATTAAGCATCCTGAGGATGCACACAAATGGGGAGGAGACATAACAGCTTCCTTTGTAAGTCAGAAGTATTAGTAGAACTTTCATCTTACTCTATTTTCTTTTGTTTATGTTTCGTTTTTCCTCATTATAGAACAATTTCAATTGATTTTCGTTGTTCCGCACTGTGATTGGTCCAGAAAACTCGCCCCACTTTCTCAGCCAATCAGATGCGAAACTAAAACAAATCAAGAATTGGTCGCCCGCGTTTTCTCGCGCGTAAGAAAGTTTCGTTGTTTTAGCTTCGAGTTCTCATTGGCTTTTAAAAGTATTTCCTTTCTTCTGATAGGCCGTTTTGATTACTTTGGTTTTGGGTTTGGGACACTTATTAGAAAAGCGCTCAATCGTCTTCGACTGATTTCATATCGAGCTCTGATCTCTGAAACATAGTAGTATGAGTGTGTCGTTGTTGTTGTTGTTGTTTTTCTGTTTAAGCTTCATCAAGTGCTTAGTTGCTCATTAAGATCCGTGTCAGGTGGCTGACTTTACGTAGATTACCCTGGCCAACAGCTTACGTTACCGCTTAGAAGTATTTACATGGTTGGGCAATTTTGAGTTTCCCATAGCCTTGAGCCTGGAAAGATGAAACAATGGTTTTGAACTAAGATTTATTAAAAGAAATGTGTGCTAGCCCTATTCTAAGATCAAGCTACTTTAAATTTTGTTTAAACTTCTAAAGTATGGTCTCTAATCATCATATTTATTTCAGGTCATACGTCAAATTGATGAAAATACGGATATTGTTTATAATTCCACTAGTGAAGCCGGCGGTGGAATGGTGTCTAGTCGGTGAGTGCGCATGCTCAGTGTTTACTACTTTGATTAAAAATAAAAAATTCTGTATTTTATGACCGTTAGAATGAGTCACTGACGAGAAGCGTTTGGAAATTTAGGGATTTTGTGAATTTGCGTCGATGGGAAAAGCGAGGAGATGTGTTTGTTTCGTGCAACGTATCAGTTGAATGTGATGAGATGCCACCCAAAAAGGAGCATGTCAGGTAAGTATGAGTTCTATTTCATGAGATGCTAAAAGGAGACACGATCTTTAAGCTGATTTTAAATGCCGGTGCTCAGAAAATTGTCGTTAATTGGGTTAAAAAGCTAAACTTAGCAATTTTCTAGCGTATGTTAGCTCCAAAGTTGCAGGAATTGACCAAAAAAGGATGGTTAGGAATGGCAAATAACACAGATTGTATTAAACAAACTAAAAAAGTTTAGGCGTGGAGATTTTTCTTGTATTAAGAAGTTCAAGTAAGACGGTTATAGAAGAGAACAACTATATTCTACCTCATGGCTCTTGCTTCTCTTACAACAGCCTAATTATAGTCAGTTAAAGCTTTTCTTAGAGTTCCCTGTCAATCATTTCCCTCGCTAGTTATCCTTGTTGCGTTTTTCTTTATCGTCGCCTCTTTCGTGTTTGTCTTGTTGTTCGTAACTGACATTTCGTAGTGTCTTTCAAGTTGGAGGTAGTTTTATAAGTCACTAAATTTTCTAGAAATTAAAAAACTTTACTTTTTTAAGGCGAGAGGAGGAAAAATTACTGTGCATGACAGCTTATGTTAAATTTTTCCCAACTTCTCTCGCTTGAAACTGATTAAGTCTTCTCAATTTATTTCCTTAGCCTTGTGTTTTGTTTATTTTTGTTTTGATTTTGTTTCTTCAGAGCCGCAAATGGTCCAGGTGGCTGGGCTATACGGGAGGCTGAAGGGAATCCCAGCGGTACTGAATATGTTTGGCTGTTCGACGTGGACCTGAAGGTAAAAATAGCTTGACCAGCCAGGGTCTGATCTAAAGAAAGAAGAAATGATAGTGAAAGTTTGGACTTGTCACGACGCATTTTGGTTTCTATGGTGTTGATTTTGGCACCCGATCGATAATTTGTGTTTAGCAGTACGTCACGATTGTGTGACGTAAAACCAATCACAAAGGCCAATAAGGAGAAAGGTTAATATCTCAAGGAACAAATGAGGAGTCAAAATAAAAAACAAGTAAACAGCTTGAAGTGCGGGAAAACACAAGCAGCCAAATCGCGATCCGTTTCAATTTCGAATTGGTGTAGATTGATTGGTTTAGAAAGTGGCGCAAGTCTTCTGAAAAAATTTCAGAGCATAGAGGAGCAAAACTAAAACAATTCCGAATAACTTTCGATAATCTCTTTCAAGTTACTCTATAAGAGAGAGAAACAAAACATAAACAAATGAAAAAGAGGCTGATGAAAGTTAAATCATCAAATGAAATATACTCACAAAACCAACCGTTGCCAACAACACCAAAAGGAATTCCCCATTTGTGTGCATCCGGCGTCAGAATGGTTGTTGACCAGATTAAAAACCTCCTCTGTTTTGGCGTCTAAAGAACCCTGTCAATCATAACACTCATTCCGATTTGTCAAAACCTTAGTTAGTTATTTTAAAAAATTTGACCTGCGAGTAAGCCATCACCAGCACTGCCGTTCCAGCAAAGCTCGCGAGATTCGGAAGGCGAAAAGAGCGTGCACGAGGTCGAAAAGGCATTCATTTAAAATTGCATTCAGTTTAAAATTGTTCTAAATCAATGATAGCGTTTTTTATCTTTTTTTTTTTTAACTCACTAGGGATGGTTACCGCAGTCAGTAATTGACGCTGCCATGTCCTTCATGTTGTTCCAGACAGGACAAGGATTAAAGGCTTACATCCAGGAACAACTCGGCTGATTGAAGAGGCTAGGCGAGAAATGAAGGGACACGGCCGCGTGAAAAGAGACCTGGAACCGAAAAAAAACTCTCTGCAAAATGTCATATCAGGAGTGGTACAATTTTTACAACAAAGCTTAGCGTGGAGACATAATTAATTTGATACTGTTGGGATGTAAAACACAGCGTCTGGTCACAGTGAGGCCAAGTCATTTTCAACCTTCAGCCTAAATTTTTTATTTATGTCTTTTGCAATCCGCATCATTTTTCCTTCGTCTTAAATGATCGTAATTCGTTTTTAAAGTTTTCTCCACTCTCTTGGTAACGGTTATCTTAAATTACATTTTAATTACATGAGTCTTCCACAAGGCGAAAATGGTTGCCGGATCTCCTGTAAGGAAACGAAGGGTTTTTTTTTAAGGTTTGACTAGTGGATTTGGTCTTTTAGTTTTCCTCACCCATGGCGTTCAGGATGAAATACCAAAGGAAATGCTTTTATTTTTATATTTTTGCCCCCGCGACTACTGTTCATCAGTTTTGAAGTGATGAGTGTTTTATTGGTAGATGGCAACAGACTACGTGATCGTGCTGTTGGCTTAATACTTTAAATTTCAAGTGGTTCGAGTTTTTTTAAGCCGGTGATTTTTAAAAGGAGTGATTTAGATTTAGTGTAGATGTAGATTTAGTTTCTTTTGGGGAGGGAAGCGCCCATTTGTTTCCAATACCCACGAAAGTAAAACTGTTAAAGTAGAGAATAATATATGGGAGCGCGTAGATATGGAATTTCTCTTCGAGTGTTCAACATGATAGCTAACGAGTGAGCGCAGCGAGCTCGAGAGTCGAGTTGAACGCGAGAAGAGAAATTCCACAGATAGTGACTGATTCCATAGATAGATAGATAGTGACTGGTCGTTAAAACCTTGTGGTTTCATGAACCATTTAACTCCCAGGATCCGATTGTTAATTCTCCCCTCTAGCTGCAACACATTTCCTCGTAAATTAGTTGCAAGAATTTGGTGTTAGATCAAGACAACAACTTCTAACTGATACATTTGAGTACCTGTTTGTTGGATAGTGGATGATATGCTAGGGAGAAGTTACATGTGAATCACCTGAGGGAGTTAAAGGGTTAAGAAGGGGACGCCGGAAGCAGAATGGCTAAGGATACCAGTTGGCTTGAAGCCGTTAGGAGATTTTAATAGTATTTTTATAATTTCAAAGATTAATTAATTATTTAAATTTTTCACAACCATTTCAGTGGATGACAACTTGTTCCCCATGCACTAATTCTGAGCCTCCTTTTCACCTCAACCCTTTACTCCCAAGATCTCATTAGCAATTCTCCTTATTTTCAGCCATACAATTTCTATAATGTTACTTCGGAGAATTTGGTATTGATCAACTGATATTCCACTATTTGATATTTATCTTTATTCTCTTTACTTGTCTGTTTGACATGGTATTGATATTGTGAGGAGAAATTTTGTGTTGGTTACTAATGGGAGTGATGGTGAACGGGGAACGCAGAGGCATTCACTTCGTATATCTTTTAAGAGTTTGTTTTGAAATTTCCCAGAATTTTCTTTTATGCTTGATTTTGTTTTATTATTCATAGGTATGGTGGTTTAGATAAAGTGAGTTTTATATTTTCGTACTTATATGAATTATATTGGGTCATTTTAAATGTACCAGAAGATGCAAATAGAAATATATACGGAGCTCTGAATAGTCGTAAGTTACAAGTTTTGTAAGTAAAATATGAAAAAAAGCAGGAGCCCAGTAATGGGCTCCTGAAAAAAGATATTGTCGCCCCTTTTCTCAGTCGGGGCAAAACACCAAGTACGGGAGTGTGGTGCCCAGAGGAAACCGAAGTTTTTGCTTTATTTGCAAGTTCGCCCCCGACGATTTCACCCCAAAATTAACAAGAACCACCCGAAGCAGGGGCGCTGAATTTCTAAAGTGGCTGCCTCACATTTTTTCAATGCTAACAAGGAAGTGATAAACGCTATAGAAGCAAATTCAACACCGAAGAGCACAATAGATGCTAATAAGTTCGGCGAAACACTTTTTTTTTAAGCTAAGATACCGAGTGTTTATTAAATTCTGGTGAAAACTGTCTGCCTTTCTCCGTACAAGTAGTCAAAAGAATTGTAACAAAATAGGCACAAAATTTCCTCTATTTATTAAAAATCCTCAGTGATGTACACACTATATAAATCTTCATTTTCCAAGCTGGTCGAACAAGCCGAGAGCTGTGTAGTGCAGGCGTCTTAGTGGGGTGAGCTAACGTTGTAAGCTCGCGATTGTTTTTCCGGCCATTTGACCTGGAGTTAGACTAGACGGTGGGGGTAGGGGGCGGCGGAAGGGCATTCCCCTTCCCTCACCCCTCTCCTTATTAAGGACCTTAAGATCCGAGGACAGCGGATGTCTACGACGACTGTCATGACCGAGGGGGGACTGGGAAGAGGTTACCGTCGCAAGGCGCAAAAAATCCTTAAGAGACCAAGTCGAAGGCGCGGGCGGCATTGCTTACATATTTTCGATTTTTATCATAAAGTACTTCAGTCGTGGCTTCCTTTAGAGAGATTCGTAGCATTTGTTGAAGTCCTAAATGTAATAACTGTCCTAAATGTAACAAAGTCCTAAATGTAATAACATTTGGTCCTAAATGTAATAACATTTAGTCAAAAATGCAATAAGCCTCCAATGCAATCGTTTAACTTCTTCAGTGCATTGTTGTTATAGCGGACATCCACATTGAGATGTTAGTGGCAGCTGTTATGGGCTCGCTGATATCAATCAGCGTCTTTTTACTTGCTAGACATAAGAAATATCAGTCCTTGAAGCGGTAAATTGATCGAGTTGAAGAAAATCATTTCCAGCCCAAAGTGGGCTAGTGCTTAGCTGGAAGCTCAATAGAACGGAATCGATTGGTACGTAAACATTAAGACTTCGTAACTTTTGGACAGTGTTTGCATATACATAGAAAAAAATAAACGACCCTCTTGGGTTTATTGTACTGC